CAGCACCAGCAGCACCAACAACAGCACCAACAGCAACAATCAGCGTGCAGCAGTACGGCCAGTATTCTTAGCAACATGGCGTACCAGCGCCAGAACCTCGCGGCCATGGGTATGCAGCATCAGCATCAACAAACAGCCAACATGTGCTCCTCCTATCTCCCGCTACAAGGCCGGGCCTGGTAATGAACTTCGGCGTCCGAACTGTAATTAACAAGAGAAAAGCGGCCGAAAACACTGTGACATAACTATATCGACCTATCGAGGTGTATATTGTCGATTGTGAACGAGGTATCGAACTTCATGATGCAATCGAGACACTTCCATACCCTACAGTAATCGTGTCTGTAATGAATATCAGCAGCAAATCGACAGGCCTAAAACTTTCCTGTTTCGAATCGATCTATCGAATTGTAGATAGTCGAATGTGATCAACATTTCAGTGAGGTGGCTGATATATATATATTTGCATAGGTTTATCCTGTCGTAATGGTGCCTCTAATAAACACCAGATATCGGTAATACTCTCCAGTTATGGATCGATCTATCGAGTTTTATCTAGACGATTGTAGTCAAGATATGGAACTTCAATGAGGAGACCGCTGTCTGCGTATTATCTGGTAATAGTGTCCCTAATAAATGTAATATAGCTCACCGATAACGATTTTCGTTAGTCGATCGATCTATCGAATTGTAGCAAATCGACTCTGGTAAAAATACGGAAATTAATGAAGCGGTCGAGATATATTTCAATGTCCTATGGTAATGATTAGTTACCCCTCATAAATATCCTACCATAAAGTCGGTAGAACAATTTACAGCACCGACATATTTATCGAATTATGGACAGTCGACTAACAATAAAAATATCGAAAGACATCTCCTGTGTTAAGATACTAATCTGTCAGCACTGAGCCAACTAAATATACTGTTATGGTATTAATAACGTTGAGTCGAATTCTAGTTAGTTGACTATCTCGGTGATAACAGTTTACAATGGGTCATGTCACGATGGCTAAGATCTACTTATCTAACAATAAGGGTAAGTCGACACAACACAATGTAAACCATTGAATTGGTTCACTGAAATACTGCGAAGACGGGGTGAAACGAAAAAAAAATTAGATGATATCGTTCTTATGAATTACACAGAGCAGCTAAAGCGATGTTCGACTCAGGTAACAACTTATCGACTCTTTCGATTGGCCTATGAGCTAAGTGCTCTGATTTATAGGGCCTATTAATCATCGAACTGTAGTAGTCGGATGAAGAAATGATAAAAATAAACGCTGAGTAATCAAATCACAATGCAAAGTTATTGCTTTATCGATTTGTTTCGAGTCGTCTATAAACCAGACGTAAAAATCTGAAGATGTGTTACGTCACATTCTTGGATTGGACTGTCTTACGTTAGCAGTTCACTGGCACTCTGTACACAAAAAGAAATGTAGAAACGATCATACAAAATGGTTCGTTAGCCAGCTCGTTGACGCTCGCGGTGAGCGCATGGCTGTCTAAAGCTGTCTATAAATATAAATTTCATCTGACCGTTTCGGCTGTGTTTTAGCCTGCTGAGTACGACTGAACTATAAAAGTAAGGCAGATAACTTTTATTTTTCATTTCTCAAAGTTTTAACCGAGCTAACACGGTTAACATAAACGCTCAGTCCCCGCGTGCTAATGTTTAAAAAGGCACAACCAACATTGGTAAATATATGTAAATATGAGCTCCAAGAAGATTTTAAAGTTATTTGCAGTTTCCACATCAACTACGTGAATGCAGTACAGTAGATTACCGATTATCCAGGTTGGGCGGAAAATTTGCTTTTCCGGATAAACCGCAAAATGGAAAAGATACACGCAAATGTAACAAATACATAAGTTTATTTACAGCGACAACATTTCTTAATTTCTTTAAATATTTACTGATAACAGAAAGGAGTTTATATAAAACTTGACACAGTGCATAACAACTACGTTTTAAAAGATGATTCCAACGGAAAGTAATAACGTTCTATTGTCGCAAAATTCAGGTTTTAGCAACAATTGATTTATGTTTTTACGTTAAAAAATGTTATTGTTGTATTTATCCTTTTCTTTTCATACGTTCTAATTTTGACAACAGATTTTATAAATTAATTTTTAATTGTTGTTTAAGCCAGATAGACCCCTGTTAATCAGCTTCCGAATAATCGGGAGTTTACTGCACAACTAATTCCTCTCACGTCGCTTGCAAACAGGCACAAATCAATCCAGGTTTTATTGTTATACAAATTTTGGAAGTTTACACTATAGCCCGTGAATTACGAAACAAACTAAAGTTAATCTCTTAGCACATTATAGATGGACTGAAAGGAATAGCTCAAGAATTATAATTATGCAGAATTGTTAATGTCTTTAGAGATTCCTACCAAGCATTGAAAGTAAATCCATATCCTCTATGGATGATTTAAAGTCAAATGAGATTGCGACTGAAGACGAAACATTACGACTATTAAATTCAGGCCTATTTAATAACCACTGTTAAAATAAAGCGTCCTGTAAAATTAATTTCACATTCGCCTAATCGGGGATGATACAGAAATTCGTTTTGCGTTAAATTGTTCTCTTAGACTTCGTCCATTCGTTTCTTCACTTAAGATTAAGACAAATTTATGAATGCTATAAGAATCGACGAGAAGCTTTATACAGAGATTATTTACGATTCCGGGCAATATACACGTTCAGCTGTTTCTTACTGATGACTTCATGGAAGTCTGTGCAGAAATAAATAATTTCTTAAATGAATCAAGAATTGACAGGAAGAGATTTCTCTTAAAAATTTCAAGATGAGTATCTATGCTACGATTCAATATTATTAAGATGTGAAGATGAATAGTGACAAAATCAAATTATAAAAATTTTTGTTTTGTTTCCCACGTAAAATGGTACGTGCCACTTTCGACAAGTATTGTAAATACTATTATAATAGGCATTTCAATAGTCTACACGAGTAACTGCGTGTGTATGTATAATAAGAGAATATTCCTTTTCATCGACTTCTTATAAATAAAGAGACATTTTAAAAGTGAATGCGGGGTATTTGTACAAATTTACGTGATTATTTAACTTTTGTCATTTTTAAAAGAAATGATTATTATAATTATCACCTGAATGTTCAGGTGACACTTAAAAAAAGATTTTAAAAGTTAACATTTAGAATGGAAACAAAAAGTCGTATCAAATATTTCGCCATTTGTTAATATATTCTGTGTTTCATTTTTGTCATTTGTAAAAGTGTAAATACATAATAGGAAAATGAAAAAGGACTCTTTTGTATCAGTCTGGTTAAAAAACGTTTAACTCAGTGCCTAGTTTCCTTACAGGCAAATCCTAATTTCCTAGGATCCAGAAGCAAAAACCTGAACTCATCCCATGGGGTGGGACTATTTTATGATTCCTGCCCTCAGACATAAACCCAAATAGCGAGCGACCACGGGGTTCGATTCCAGACAGATATAGGAACACGTTCAGGCAAGCTGTGTGGCTCAATAAGCCTCTAATTCTTCGCGTCAGGCAGCTCTTTTCCAGGGAATAAAGCGGTCGAAGCATGAAGCTAAGCCCCATTCCCATGCAGTTATAACTCAACGCCTCTAAAAGCGCAAAAACTCAAAGAAGAAAAGCAGTTTCTATATTACCTTCAAAAATAAACAAGTTCCCCCTCCACCACGAACGCTGTCTCGTGCGATTGCTATTGAAATTCTGCACCCAAAGTGCGTGTGCTAATGTTGGCAACATTAGTTATAAAACAACATTTCGTAAGGAATATTTCGCTTTTAGATAGTCTCCCCTCGTTAAACAAATTACGATACACTGTTTGGTTTTCACTTAATGGACAGTTACTCAAATGAAGAGACTTCTGTCTTAATTTGTCTCTGCCCATGTTTGTGTCGTACCAACATCACGTTCGCCATGAAGTCATAACTCAGCGCGGCAGGATGTAATCCTGCGACGAACAAATAACTTCTGTTGGCTGAGAAGACCCATCAGGAAAGGCCTTCGCCGTCCTTGGATTCAGTTTTAGCCTGACGTAAAACTTTAAGTCACAAAAAAGTACTTCAGTACGCATGCGTGCATGCGCGTTGTGACAAGAGATGAGAATGGTACGGGATTAATTTGAAAACTAAGCTTAAATCAATTAATAAAAATTAAAGTGTCGGCCAATTATTTGTTTTGTTTTATCGTGTACTTTGATAACATAAACTCTGCCACAGTAACCATGAATCCGCAGTCGACAGGGCGCTGTTTATCAGACCTGTCCGTGTCCCAAGTTTTGTCTACTTTCATTGATTAAAACCGTCGTTGAGACGCTGATCCCCGCTCAGCCACTCAAATAACTTCGGCCTCTATAAAAACCCAAACCGTGTTCACAAAAGCCTATCAATAGACTCTATTCTCATCCAGATAAATCCAATCCACGCCATAATTATTCTTTAACATCCGTTTTAATAGCGTATTGACCTTCCACCTGCTTGTGGTCTAACAAATTCTCTCTTCCCTCCACGTTTCCCTACTAAAATTCTGTATACATTTATCATCTCCCCTAGGTGTGCTTAATGTCATGTTTAGCTCGTCTTCCGTTACACTATCATATGCAGTTAAGAGAATGGAAAATTATTAATTTTTTCATACGGAAAACTTCAATCAAGATGAAATCTAACCTGCCCGATATTCGAACTGGTTACAGAACCCCGAGACCAAACCCAGCGTTTCGCCTACGTCATTACTTTGCGCGTAGGAGGAAGATAAGTGCATATACTACGTAAACCAAAAACATTACCTACATACGAACTGAAACAGCGAGCTAGAAATTATTGACGCTGGAATATAACTTTGTTTGAAAAGGTAGTATATTCTTCCTTATCTGACAAAACCTCTTATCCTCTTGCCTTTTACTTCTAACGGTCGTCGAACGTACAGATTGGCCCCGACTATTGTGTCAGGCTCAGTCTTGAACCAATGTTGTACGTCATATACGTTATGCACACAGCGATATGACGTAGCCTTTAACAATTTTGAGAATATGTTTTATGACCATGGAGAGGTAAAAAGATACAAACGCACATTGGAAACAGCTCTGTTCTGATTGGCAGTTCGTGGACAGTACACACCGCGCAGAAATGCAAACATGCTCACCCTCAAGATAGCTGTCTTCCGTACGCACACAGAGGATAAAGTGTGTGGACGTTTCTTTGTTCGCATCTGTTGCCAGGGTGTTCCTCAGCCTTACGAAGAAACTTATTCTGACATCTGTCGGCGTTGTACGAACATTAATATGATTCTGAAAACTGTATTACTCATAAGTACTACAAGCAGTTAACACCAGAGCATCAAATCACCTTTCTTGAGTAGGATACCAGAGGAGACTCTCTGGTTTGTACCAGGGGCCCTTTACTTTTTAACCAACGCGAACGTGAGCTACATTAATCCACATGACATCATCATAATTTACCTCCGTTAGACCTACTTTTATTTTAAAAAATTATCCCAATTTCATCTTAATCTTATAAGTAACAACATCCCAAGAGATTTGCCCATTCAAAATCTCTATGCATTTCTTATTTAACTGTCCAAGACAGACATTACAGTACAAATTGGAAGCGATGTATACCAACGCCTTGATCTAACGTTAAACTATAATTTGCATAGTCCATGAGGCAGTAATACAGGAAACAAAGAAATATGAATTTCAGGATCTGTTAAGGGCAACTTTAAAAGGAGGTGACTGATCCAAGGCCCTTCACATGAGTGGAAAAATTCACATCCGCCTAATAGACCAATTTCAGGCACAAGCTTACGATAGGCTTGTATTTTTATATTTGTACTCACAAGAACACACAAGTGCGAATTTCAATTAAGAACAGTTCCACTTAATTGAATTCAAATACAAATCAGTGGTATGTGAGGAGGTATCTGACACTCATTTGGCCGGCCTGAACTACGTAACAAAATCTTAGTTTTATTTTTCAGGACACGTCATAGTAGTGCTGCAATGATGCCAACAATATGAACTATCCCTTGCCCAGAAAGAACTGTTTAAGCCTCGCCAGTCCTTTTTACAGAACGCACAGACTTTTTGGCGTCCACAAAAGGATCCTCCAGTTCACTGGGAGAAAGGACACAAAGCTATCGGGGACGGAAGGCGGGTCTTTCGTGTATTATTTAGTTCTAGAAAATGCAAATTGCTGGTGAATAGCAAAGACGCGAAATTGTGGAGGTGGAATAAGGAATTTCGTGTACTATGGAGCAGTCTCGCGGTTTTATCGCTTGTTACGGCAAGTCATTACATGCCTCTCAAGACGTCATTAACATTGAAACGTCATTAGAACATGGCTCGCAGCGTCGCCATTACAAGTGGGGCTTTTTGTCTCACTCTTTCTGCTTTCTCTGTTTCCTTGCTTATCTTGCTTTGTGCCTTTTGTTCATTTATATTTGAGCTTTGCCACAGCAGACCGAGCGAAGCGCTACAGCGCATGTGCAAGAGTCACTGTTACAGCGCCGTGTGTGGGCGGAGAACGACACTAATGAGGTGGAAAGAGACAGAGAGAAAATAAGATGGAAAAAAAGAGACGAACGAGGCTGTAATGGCGGATAGGAGGCGTGGCGTGGAATGGTTTAAGGATGTAACAATATTTGCTTTTGTTGCATTATGCGTTCCTGCATTAAGTGAATTTCAATATGAAATGTATGAGACATGTTGAAATTAAAACTGAAATGGAAATTTCCGACATCATAAATGACGTACACGTGTCTTGTCCATTTATCTCTGATAGGACGACCCTATTCAGCCTAGAAGCTGTCGAGGTACGCCTTTTCTCACACACATCTTATCTTGACACGGAGTACAGACGTTTCAGAGGTAATCACCCTGATGATGGAGGCAGCAAGTGCCTCCGAAACGTTGGTAAACATCTACCAAAACACGTGGCTCGACAATAGGTCTAATCACGTGAAATGTATTTTCTTTTCCCTCAATCTAAATCCAAGGGTTAAAACGCATAAGCATTTTACATCCATTGAACGCGGACGGTTTATAGAGTATTGTAATCGTGATTTTCCTCACTTTTTCCACACAAATTCTGGGTTAGTTGCCTGAATACACTACAAGTATCTCCTTCCAGAACCTCGTTCATTCATTATCCACGATATATACGAGTATAATCTTCCCAAACGAATCGATGCCATGCGTATAGTCTTCTGCAGTTGAAACGCAGTCGCTAAAAAACCTAAATTTAACTGTTGATGGGACAAGTGCAGGCACGTTTGTCTTTTATTTCTGAACTTTAAATGTCGCTGATGGAATTGATACGCCTTCTCTGTAGGAACACTGCAGCGTTCGTAATCCGATACTTGATCACATTCCACGGATCCTTGGAAACAGCTGAACGGCTTCGTCACCCGAGAATCGCGGTAATTCGAGACACACGCAACAGGAACGCAAATTTAGACTATTATGGTCAACAGGACGGGGGTTTCAGTGACTGTCACACTGCACATAATTAAAATTAGAACGACGGACAGCAGATACTGTCGAACATGAGTGGAATTCCATTGTCAAATAACACAAGTGTCAGGGAGAAAGCACCATTTTTAAAGCGCCGACACCAGTTTAGTGTGTACGAAAATAATTCCAAGTCATAGTAGCGATTTGTTAGGAATTCCACCTGAAATATCTGTGGCAAAATGTAGTTCAGGGGTGCAGATTTTGTAAACAACGAAATAACATTAATAAAATCTTCCCAGGCTATCAGCTGTGTTAGTTCATTAAAACTGGCAATGTAATGTGTAACGCGACGATTCGATGATTAAGAATGTAAATTAACATTAAGCAAAAACTAATTTATTTACAAGTTATTTAACGACTATGAGTAAAGTAGAGCAAAAACTAATTGATTTATAAGTTATTTAACGACTATGAGTAAAGTAGTCTGAAAATATTAGTAACAACATGTTTGGACGACGAAGGAATAAAAGACAAAAAATCTGGATAATTCTGAGAAATGTCATCCATTATTGCTTAATTCGTGACAAACTAAATCATATTCCGTCGCAGAAAACAGTAAAAGTTCCACACCCATAATATTTAGTAAAGGATTCAAAGTATTGAGCTCTTCGTGATTTGGTCTGATTTTCCTCTTACTGCCTCTTAAATGCAAAAATATTCATCACAGCCTTGAACTCGAACAATTCCAGCCTTTAGGATAAAAGAGAAAAGATTTGTATTCATAAAAGCAACTATTGATTTTTCCAGAAATGTTATAACTAATACTAAAAAATTA